TTGCATATGAACAGGGAGGGCTTGAAATCTGGTTGCGAAAGTGCCACCTTATTTTGGCAATAACAGCCTCATCTCCAGCACTATTTGTTTTACATGGCAAAGTAGTTTTTTATTTGTTAATGAAATGGTTTGATGGGAACTGCTTCCTATTTAAAAGATTTTCTACCCATGTTTTACACCAGTGAGGTTCATTTGCTGCAGTTTTCATAATCAGAAATGATGAGCTGTTAATTTATATCATGTTTTGCAAGATTCTTTGATGTAACAAGTAAATGTTGAACTGTCTTCGCATTTTCTATTTCATAGAATCATAGAATGGTTAGAGTTGGAAGGGACCTCGAAGATCATCTAGTTCCAACCCCCCTGCCATGGGCAGGGAAACCCTCCACTACACCAGGTTGCCCAAAGCCTCATCCAACCTGGCCTTGAACACTTCCAGGGATGGAACATCTACAACTTCTCTGCGCAACCTGTTCCAGTGCCTCACCACCCTCTGAGTGAAAAATTTCTTCCTTAGATCTAATCTAAATCTCCCCTCTTTCAGTTTAAAGCCATTGCCCTTTGTCCTGTCACTACAGACCCTTGTAAAAAGTCACTTTCCAGCTTTTCTACCTGTAGGCCCCTTTAAGTACTGGAAGGCTGCTAGAAGGTCTCCCCAGAGCCTTCTCTTCTCCAGGCTGAACGGTCTCAATTCTCTCAGCCTGTCTTCATGGCAGAGTTGCTCCAGCTCTCGGGTCATCTTTGTGGCCCTCCTCTGGATTTCACTTGAATCCATTTGAGTTGTGTTTAGTGGTCAGGTTTTTGTGTTATGTGAATTAAGTAGTGTTACTTTTGTCCTCTTTCTTCTAAATTGAAAACATTTGAAGGTGCAGAAGAGAGAAGCAAAGGTTTATTTCTTCTCTGACAAGGTTAAAGCCCAATAGTAAGTCAGGCAAAAACCCCCAGATCCTCACACTGGATCTGTTTATTGAAATATTCAAATAGAATTCGTTCGCTCTCTAGAGTAAACGATTTCTTTGCTAAAATTACGGTGGCATATGGGGAAGTAAGATATATTACAATAAAACTGATATAAAACAGTTGAATTCAGAAACAGTGGCAAGAGATAATTTTACTTCACTATGATTTAATTCAATTAAATGCAACACTGTTAACTGCAGACTAAGAAGAATTACTTGTGCCTGTGCAGGCACACACAAGCATTATTTATTCTCTGCTGCATCTCTCTTTGCAGAAGAAATTACACTAGTAAAAAGGGGGCCCTGGATGCCTTCATAGCATGGTAAAAGGCTATATATCTCACAGACCTCAATGGAAATTTTACCTGAGTAAGGAGAAACAGTGAGCCAAGGTGTTACAGGGTAAATCCATTAAAACCCAAAAAGCTATATGTATGTAGCACACTCCGTTTGAACATCAACAGTGTCAGTTGCAGACTTGTGGACTAACTTGCTGACCTCAAAAGAGGTTGTTGCCAGCAGGGAAAATATACCTGCTGATTTTTATTTGTTGTCATTTTTTCTTCAGAAACAAACCAGTCCATCAAAACCGACTGGTCAGTTTGAACTGCCTGTGCCTTGCCCTTTCCAGGCACTGCCCTGAGAGAGAGGAATTCATGATTCCTCTCCTCCTCTAACCACCTGAGCTGTTCCCTGCCCTGTACCTGATGCCCAAATGCACAGCAGTACACAGGCACTCCAGGACCGTGGATTTTGACCGGAGCTGTGTGCCTGAACACCTTTGCACATCTATGCCTAGGGGTCATTGCTGGCTGTGCCCCAAATCTCTGCTCTCAGGCTCACTGCACAGGAGGAGGCTGACGAAGGGCAGGTGGCACAACACCGAGCTCTGTCCCAGGGCTGTCCAACCCTGTGGCTGTGGGACGGCGAGCTGTGATGGAGACGCATATTCACCGCCCTGGTGGGAACAGGTTTAGCATGGGGCTGTGGAGGGGACCTTTTTGGAAACTCTCCCTATTCAACCTGGCTGCCCCTTTCTAAAAAGCAGTTCCCCTGTATAAATCATGCTCCTGGTGCTCATCGGGTTGGAAATGAAAGCCCACCAGCACCCGTGTGAATTCTTGATGTGTTGGCACAGAGTAACAGGCAGATATTCGGCCAGGATTTTTGTATGGATTCAACAAAAAGAAACTTCTTGCTTGGTAGGTATGTTTTATTTGACCGTGTACACCGAGGTGCATGATACTGTCCTACCTGGGTCAGGCATGCAGTGTTTATGTGTGAGGACTCCCAGAATGAATCTCGCAGCCTCAGGCTTTGTAGCACACAGGTGTGTGAAAAAAAATCTTTATTTTTCTTATTATCTATTTTGTCGTTATGTGTTTGGGATCATGGCATGGCTTAAACATCCAGCTCCTGTAACTGTAAGCAAAGGGATGCTTCCAGTCCCAGAAGACGAGTTTGCAATCTAGGGCCAGGGTGGGTGCTTACAGCAAAAAAAGAATAACTGCGTGCAGGAGACAAAGAAATGAATTTTTAATAGTCATGATTACCCTTACATCAAGTGCTTGACCACTGTCTGTTTGTAGGCAGGCGGGCAGAAAAGAGCTTACTGTTG